TGTTAATTTCATCCAATACGTCGTTCTCTTCCGGGAATGACGTCGCGGGCCTGTCGGCATCGTCTGTTTTCCTTCGACTTTGCGTCGAAGAGGCCCCTTCAAAAACAAGGGCGAGGCCCGCAGGAGACACGGAATGACAAAAACAATAGAAAAAACATGTAACAAAGGTGCTTTTGCGGAAATCACCGCGACAGAGGATTGGAAAAGGCGAGCAGATGCCTGTCGGCACTAGGACAGTCAAACACGGTATACGACAAGGGAGAGTGAAGGCAGATAATTAAATAACGATGACAAAGAAGCGATGGAGACGAACAAAGGAGCGATTGAGGCGTCCGCTTAAGGAGGTGTGCGTATTTACCGACGCTCTCCGGTCGTCTTCGAAAGAGCCCGCGACTTCTCGACAAGTACACTAAGGTGACGTTCCCCGCGATCGTCAGAATAGCCGAACCTCTTTAGTTTCTGTTTCTCTCAAGCCACCGCCCTCTCCTCCGTTCGTTTTTTGTTAACGTTCTTTGAGACAATACAGGCAAGGGTGGGGGGATAAGGAGGTTGTAAAACAAGCCCCGAAAATACCGTAGGAGCTATAACTTCTGTCTTTTTAGGAACTGCCGCTTCAACAGCCCAGAAGGAGGGGAGAAAGTACCGGCGGGCGCGTGCTGCCTGAAAAAAACAACAGCTAAAAAGTAAACCCGAAGAAGACGTCGGAAAAGCAACGTTCTCGTAGCTGTAGTCACCGCACACGGTGACCGGGCCAACGGCGACGTCAGTCTCCCGTCGACGACGCATCGTGACCTTATTCCCGGCGAACAATGGGCGAAACAGGCGGTCTAGGTAGCAGCGATGGTCTAAAGAGAAGAAGAAGCGACAAGATAGGAGAGGGGAACCGACAAGATAACAAAACAAAAAAACCGATCGACTAAACATGAACACGTGGAAGGAAGGAAGGCCGACGGACGGGTGTTCTGTCCAAAGCGAAAGACACAACACAGAAAGAGGGCGCACCTGACCGCCTCCGGAAGAGCACCGCGCATTGCACCTTGAAAGAATGTAGATTTCGTCGATCACCGATAACCGCAGTGGACCATCTCCGGCGGATCATCCCTGTTTTCTTGCTTGGTCACCTTTGAGTGAAGAGGTGTATCCGACAAGGATGCTTTGCGGGAAAGATAGCGAAAGGCCTGCTGCCTATATATAGTGGGATGATGCAGTTTCGGAGGATGAGGTACGAGTGAGGGCGGGTCGGGTGCTGTATATATCGCTCTGGACGTTGCAAGCGCTGGTGGTGTACAACACCGGGATAAACATACCGAGTGGCGTGTCAATTGGTAAATGTGAAACGTGGACTAAGTGAACCATTTACCATATAGACGATTTCGCGATGAAGCTAAGGATCGCGAATGAGCGAATAAACTGTTGCTTAAGATAAATACGTAACGTTACAAAATAGGAGAAGAGCAAGCAAGGTGCCAACGGCACTACAGTTGAGACGACTAGAAAAAAAATGTGACTTGAATAAGTCATGTTCCCGAACACTGAGTGGGTGTAAGTATCAGTAACGTGTACCTAGGAGAGCGAGAATACAATGTAGAGTGATAAGTGACTACATACACTGTGACGACTTCAGGAAAACTTTAAACATATAGTACGGAGTGCTTTGACGGAAGTCAATGACTGACTAGGGGTCGGTGGAACATCCCGCAGGAGGTATAGATATGGCGGATGATGATCATGTTGATCTGGGGGATTTGGTAAAGAAAATTCAGAGTGGTATACACGATTATGCCATAGAACCACCTGAACACGGAAGTCAAGGTATCATTTTTTTCTTGCTCGCTTTAGCCCCGTTATTGTACATGCGCGTAACTTTACGAAAACTTCCCGCATACACTGGCCTCTTATGCTGCACAGAATTATTCCGGCAGGTGTGGACAAGGCAGCAGGAACACAGGACTAGCGGTGACCGCCACGTCTTGTAGGTGAGCGTGCAGAAACTGGACCTGACCACGAATGAATGCCGAGGTGGCTTTCAGAAAAGGGACCGGTTGAGGTCCCGAAAGAGAACGAGGGAAAGTATAGAAGAATCTAGTTCTAAACTTAGCCCCTCGCGGTGGCGTTCGCAGGCAGCGGACGTCGGCTCGCTCATTTTTCGCATCTTGACCGGCGAGATTTCGGAATGACCTCCGGTCGCTGCCGAGGCAAACCGACCTCGCAGCAGTCCTGCGGGAAAACGCGCGCACTCTATGCACACGGCTGCAAGGCACGGGCCATTCAATGGCAAACTCGCTAATCTATTCTAGGCACTGCGCCGCGCCGCCCAAGAGGCAGACAGAAATTAGGTGCCTTCTTCCCTCCTTCCGAGAATCACTCAATCAAATGATCTATTCGGAGGCACGCACGAAGAATCTTCCATACCTGCAGCCACCAATGGCGGGCACCTTTTTTTTAAATGTAACGAAAAGTGCCGCCGACTGAAACAGCGCCTAATCATAGCTCGACCCCAGCGTTCAACAGCGCAGAGCCACAATTCATCTCCGAATTACCTCCAGGGTCCACAGCTTTACAACTGGATCGCCCTCACTCTCTTGCTAGTTGACTGATGTGAGTACGCCGGCTGGACCACAATGATTAGCGCCAAGTTGCTTCATTAAAAAATACTGTCTCTCTAAGCGACCCGGCGCAAACTGCGCGACGCTTTTTTCGCGCTACTGGGAAGCACACAGCGACGGACAAAGTGAACCGGGACAATCTCGGAAAAGGAAGTAAAAAAAGCCAAACAAAACACGCGGTATGATCGCGCGCGTCTACGCTCGCGCAGTCACCTCTGAATGGCACAGGATGCGCGCTGTTGTGCTTGTGGCGAGGGAAAACGCGTAAAAAAAAAAAAGAGCAACTCCTGCGACGCACTTTGTATGCATGAACGCGGAGGTCGTAAACGTGGGATCAACGTGGCCAGAACGCCGTCCGTACGCGCTTGCGTGGGAAGTGCCCTGCGCCGAGGAAGCGGCACGGTTTTCTTGCAGTAGTCAGACTTAATTGTTCGTTCCTCGCCGCCGTTTATACGTCACTTTTATTTATACTATCTTCATCGGTGACAAACTGTTTTTCCTCTGTCCTTCTCCTCAACGGTGAAGACACAAAACTGTCGAATAATTTGGCCCCTCCGTTACCCTTCCAACGCTTCGCGCATAGATGTAAATGTTCCGCGGCCAACTGACAGCCATGGGCGTAAGCAGGAGGGTGCAACAGGGGCACATTCTCTTCTCAAACCACACCAGCGGTAACCTTTGGAAGTACAACGATAAGCCGTGGAAGGAAAGATGAATGTCGGAACAATTCGTGCTTACATACGCGCCTGGATTAAGCCAAGCAGATGTACAGTAGTCCTCACTATAATTTGCAACACGGGAGCTCGAAGCCTCACGAGCTCTAAGATTGCGCATGGCTTCCAATTACCTTGGTTTCCAGAAATAGATGTGAGAGTTTTCTTAATTAGGATCGTCCCCAAGAGTGAGAACGGCGTTGTTGGGTAAGTAAAGACTTTAGTTGAAGCCATGGCGCAACTGAGTGCGACTGTATTTTCACTTTGAACGTACTACTGTAGACTACTTCGAATGCTTGTGAAGTCTTCCACTCAAAGGGTAGCGAATACATATCTTCGCTGTCGTTATCATATTGCTGATTTATTCAAAGCCAGCTGATAGTTGTACATAGTTGTATTACGGTGTTCCAATATATCTTTGGTGAGCGTTGCTTAGTGGACCCGCTACGTTAAAGCACATTCTTGCTGAATGATTCACTAAATTACCTTTAGCGACAACCATGCTATAGCAATGCCGCAGGCCAACGGCATTGTATCTAAATGTTAGTGGCATATAGACACTTAGGCTAAGAAAAACATGGACAAATATATACCTGCAGAAGCGACTTGTGTAAGGAGAGAGGGGGAGTGTTACTGCGCGTTCTTTCCAGAATATCTGTACGCAAAATCGTCATAGTCAAACAAAAAATATCTGCTAGTTCCGCACAAGATACACGTTGACAAGATGTTCGAGTGTTGTTATCTGGCATCTGCCGTTACACGGTAAACATTCATCGCTTTTCATGGCTGTGTTCTGTTGCAAAAGATAGTAGTTGATATTACCAACACTTTCAGGTGCGCAAAACTAAAACTAAATGTTCCAGATCGGACATTACTCGCCAGATAACTGAGATAAGTATCTATTATTCATCGCTGCACTGACTGCATCAAGCTATAATCTGTTTTTATTTGGTGCTCTTTACATATATGGCTATATACATGACACAAAACTATAAATTACAATAGAAGTGCGTGTATACGTATTCCTATAACCAACATCCTCAAACGTAAAAAAAAAAACGCTAACGACCAAAGTCGTGCAAGGAATGTAGGTGAAGCTAACGTGTAGCGGAGATTTTTTATAGCTGGCTGTTAACCTTGAGTTGTGTACACCGGCAGCCGTGCAGCTTTCGACCTGGTTGCTTCATTGTTAGTTGCTTTGTAACCAGTTCAGTAACACTTGCTCTGGTTATACGGCGAGGTTACTGGTCTGCATAATGCCGCTTTTCAAAAGGGTATAAGCTCGCTATGTTTTTTATTTTATTTAGGGAGATGTCTGCGGCGTCATAAAAAAATTCATTTTTTGTTCCCTTCCACTGTATACATTTCCTCAAATAGCGAGAGCAGGAAAATGTATAGCCAGCTCGGTATCGCCAAGTGTAAGCTTCTGACCAGCTAGGAGCACTATATGGCCGGGACACCTTTTGCAGGTTGCGCAAGCAACGGTTGCGTAAAGTATTTAATATTCAATGGTCGCGAGTGACAAAGCGAATATGCGACTGCCAGGAATGCTGCATAATATTGAGCGTCTGGACTTACATCCCCTGCATGAAATCCACTCAGCACCAATTTGGCAGTCTTAACTGTAATCGATCCCGCTACGATAGATTGAGCGGCGCCACATGGCAAATTACTTATCGGCTACAGTGAGACTTGCAGGGAATACCCACTCACCCTTGCATTGCTGCCGGTGAGGAACACAGCTTCTGAAAAAAAAGGAAGACACAAAAAAAATATATGAAATAACAATCTTATTGAAATCAAACCGTTTTGTGAACAGTTACCATAACCTCTCTTCACAAGTATTTTAACGAACATTATCTGAAGTGTACAAAAAAAAAAAACTTTTCAAACAGTGCATCATGTAAAGAAAGCGGCAACTGCGCGGTCTTGAAGACTTCTTTCTGGAACGCTTTCTGCTGAAGCTTGCTAAAATCCGTTACGAAGCTTTAACTGTTTGTGTAGCTCTGAAACATTTTGTGAGGACAAGGTCATGGTACAGACTGCATAGAAATACAGACAACACAACCACTGAACTGCAAAAATAGACACTTCGGTGGTTGTACGCCAGCAACTACAGCTTCAATTTCTATCGCTCATGAACCGTTAATTTTATTGCAGTCGCAACACAATTAAAAGCCGAGTAGTCACTTTCACTAGGTTGTATGAAACCATTCTTTATCATCGACGTAATTTTTCTATCTTTATGATGTTCCCTGCATGGCTGCTTACTTGATGTTCCAGCTTCACCAAGAACGCGTGAAATCAAGCGATCTTAACAATAGACTCGCGAAGTATACCTCGCCCAAGTGTAAGCGCAGTTGGTATTTCATTTGAATGATGACAAGATACGTACCGATTACGAGGAGGACTAGCAAGGACCTCATCCTGAAATGAGAGAACAGAGAAAAGAACATTAGAAAACCCAAGTTTGATAAAGTTTGAGCACGCAGTTGTTACGTACAATCTCATGTTAAAGGGTTGTTTTCTTCCTCCCGCTGAAGATTTTCGCACGCGAAATCTCCCTGAAAGCACTATAGTTTCCTTAGCTACGTGAACTTGTTGTGACGCTATGCTACTTGGTGACGAATGTCTCAACTGTCCATTGCAAGCATTGGTTAGTGACAAGCTTAGATTGCTAGATATAGCGAACTATTGAACGTTGGCATGTCAGTCTCACTCGGACGTTGCCATGCATTGGCTCATCAGGACTGTTCAAGTCGTACTCTTTCGTGCGCCGTGCGAGCGTTGGCGTTTCCTATCACACGCGATAATTACATCTGCTAAATTTATATTCTTTAAATTTCCGGAGCCCTCCACTACGGCGTCCCTCATAATCATATGGTGGTATTGGTACGTTAAACCCCACATATCAATCAAAATTAAATTTATAATCTTTAGGTGATACATGCTCAACACTGAACCCCTTCAGCGCGCGAAAGTAATAAAGTGAGTGGGTAGATAGCTATGTGGGGTTTAACGTCCCAAAACCACCATGTGATTATGAGAGACGCCGTAGTGGAGGGCTCCGGAAGTTTCGACCACCTGGGGTTCTTTAACGTGCGCCCTAATCTGAGCACACGGGCCTACAACATTTCTGCCTCCATCGGAAATGCAGTCGCCGCAGCCGGGATTCGATCCCGTGACTTGCGGGTCAGTATACGAGTACCTGAGCCACTAGACCACCGCGGCGGGGCAAAGACAGTGAGTAAGTGAAAGAAATGACGTTAGAAGTTAACTGACGTCAAGGTAGTTGCAGAGGCATGCAAGCTTAAAGAAATACAAAATCAAGGTGGATAGAGAAGTCGCCAACATTCAGACTAGATGAAGTATATGACCGATCTATATATATCTGCTCCTTTTTGAGATCGTATGGATACTTCGGTTTGTAATTATATTTTATGCTACCTCTTTTAGCACTTGGTAAACGTTCTGAATATAGACACCACTTAACCTCGCTTCTGTATATTTATATGCCTGTTTTTGTTACATCTTCCACGCTTAAATTCTTGCGGGGGGTTCTCTTATGATCGTGCATGAACGTGTAGCAATCGCATCCTGTTGCTCGCAATGAACGATTCGCGAATCGATATATCTCTCGAGGAAAATTTCGTCTGGCATGGAAAGAAAAAAGATGAGTGCCAAAGAGTAACCCTTCGAAGTAGCCGGGTCGGCGCAAGTCATCAGTCTACTTGTTACTTGATGTGTGTGTCTGCATCTGAGCGTCAAGCGCTCTCTATTGACTCTTAACGGTTGTCCGTGATGGTTCATCGTGGGCTATTTTTACCCCATGCTGCTACTCCGCCGCAAGGTTAAATATTAAAAAAAGATGAACCAGACGTTGACCTAAATTGGAAGCAGACCCTTCCGCTTCGTCGCAGAGGGCAGGTGGCCATTGAGAACGGAATGAGTGGTCAAAAGGTAAAATCATGAAAAGCGACCATGAATAGAAGACACCGGAGTAGTGGTGCAGTTTGAAGTAGTCGACGTATTCAGCTACTTCGGCACTAAAATGAAGATTATGTTATAAAAACTTCCCATCAAGTAGATAGGCCTACGCGGCTGCTTATACCGTTTGTAGAACCAAATGTTGATGCAACTTTGGTGCAATATTGAAAAAGTTGTTTCAACGTTGTGGCGACATTGCGTGCCATACTGGGTAGGTTTGAAGTGCACATTTGCGCGTCACAGTTGCATAACACGTTGCTTCGTTAGTGGGGAGGAATATTGCTTTGACCATCGTGTAACTACTTATTAATAATAATAGTTTCTGAAGTTTAACGTCCCAAAACCACGGTATAATTATGAGAGACGTCGTAGTGGAGGGCTCAGGGAATTTTAACCATCTGGTGTTCTTTAAACTGCACTGACACGCCTTGCTACGGAAGGTACCAACAGCGATAAATGAAATATCTCATTGATACTGACTACTTCACACAAGTACGTACTAACTAGTATAAAGATAAAGGGGTCTGATCAAAGGCAGTATCCATGGCCGAAGGGACTTCTCGCGCAAAGTACAGCCACCGGCGCTACAAGGTGTTTGTAAACTGTACAACAAGAGTCGTCTGCGTAAAATTATGGCACGTTTCGGTGTAGCCTTTGACCCTGCACAGCGGACGCGTACAGGCGCCTAATAGAGGAAAAGAGTCAGAACAGGGGAGAGAGAACGCGACTTGTAGAGTTTGCAGTCCTGTTGATATTCAACTTCTAAACAATATTCGCTATCCCGCGTGGTGAGCCGGTTGCATTTGACCATCCCCCTCATCAGTCTCTGTTCCGATTTCGGATCATTGTGTACGACACAACGGTATCACTATGACTGAGCGTCTGCTTCCAATGTGGGAGGTACCGGATTTGATTCCCAGTGCCGACCGGAGGCCACCGGATTCAAAGGCGGAGGGATCGAGTACCCAGATCTGGCTCAGTTTTTTTTTTTTTATGGGACATCCACCTCACGCGGCATCTCGATTAGAGTAGGTAAGAGTAGGCTTCGGGGCGGTGCTACGGCAGTACGATGCTTAAATCGATCGGGGTGGCACTACATATCGCGGTAAGTTGGCGGCACGAAACGCCCGGGCACTAATGTGCTGCAGGCAACTGAGGTGAAATGCGGCTGAATGCCGGTGCAGGCGACAATGTACTCCTTGATATTGAGAACACGCGACGTGTCGTGCCACGCCGGAGACACGACGCCAGGCTCGACGCAAATACTGTTGCGACGACGCGCGTGAAAGTGCGGGATGACCTGCGAGAACCCCTGGCACCGAGAGTCGTTGATGGAGCAGTCATCGCTCACTGTCGGCGTCGCCCAATACCGCCACCCCGATGAAGCTCTCCGGGTGTCGCCATCCGCTGTTTTCCGGTTCCTTTCCTCTCCGTAAAACTCACTTTTCTTTCGCAAGAGACTGCCGTAGCGGAAGGTCTCATTACTACCGCCATGATATGTCACAGGTTCTTTCGGATTTCCCCTAGCCGCTATGTGATAGCATTTGCAGGTTAGCGTGTTCGCGATGCGCGTTACTTGAAGCCTTGAGCATATCTATCTATCTATCTATCTATCTATCTATCTATCTATCTATCTATCTATCTATCTATCTATCTATCTATCTATCTATCTATCTATCTATCTATCTATCTATCTATCTATCTATCTATCTATCTATCTATCTATCTATCTATCTATCTATCTATCTATCTATCTATCTATCTATCTATCTATCTATCTATCTATCTATCTATCTATCTGGCTGTCTCTCTGTCTATCCTTAAACTAATAAAAAACGTAATGAGGACAGAGTAGTGGCGAAGTGCTTTTGAATTTTCCACAGAGGGAGAGAATAAATTGGGAGAAAGGCAGGCAGGTGAACCAGAATTTTAGCCCCTCGTTTGCTGATTGATTGATCTGTGGGGTTTAACGTCCCAAAACCACGATACGATTATGAGAGACGCCGTAGTGGAGGGCTCCGTAAATTTCGACCACCGGGTATTTTTCAACGTGCACCCAAATCTGAGCACACGGGCCTACAACATTTCCGCCTCCTTCGGAAATGCAGCCGCCGCAGCCGGGACTCGATCCCGCGACCTGCGGGTCAGCAGCCGAGTATCTTAGCCACTATGCCACCGCGGCGGGGCAGCCCCTCGTTTGCTAATCTGCACTAAGGGAAGGGGATGAAATTTTCCACAGTGGCTGGCAGACGCCGCCGCTAAATTTAGATAATGTTTCGAACATTCATTTAGCGTTAATTGCTGATAATAATGCAGTCTAAATTATCGAAAAAGTTCACTAATCAGCTACTGCGAACACATCGTATTGATAACGCCGTTAAGATACGAGAATGTCGACTGCGGACTTTAATATAACCTATTGGCATCAACAATATAGCGCAATATTCCAGAAAGAGTAATCTTAGTTTTCAGCTTTCTCCACTCGAAGTCAAAGGTTAGGAGGCTGTAAAATAATCATTTACTCACAAGTACAAAATTACTCTGCTCAAATGCAATCGAGAGTTGTTATTTATAGGGCACCTGTAAGCTACAATCAGGGCCTCATGTTTGCTACGATATGTTTCAACAAACGCACACGGAAGCGACATCTGCGCGATTGCATCTCTGCCTTTGGCAGTGCATTTCTCGATCCTTTCACTTCTGCCGCTTTTTGTCAGGGAAAACAGCAGTAGACTCCACGCAGACCAGGACAGTCACACCGCAATCTCTCGGACGCGTGCAGACATCTCGTCTATTAGTGTCGCACACGGACGCTCCCTCGGAGCGAGCTAGCTGGTGCTGCTTCATAATGTACATTTATGCGACAGCTTACAAGCAGACGACGACGACGACGACGCTAAAAGAAGCTATGGCAGTCGTCACCCGCATTCCCCCATCACCGAGTGCATTGTTTTCCAATGCGCCTACGAGACGTCACTCAAACATTGCCGCCATTGTAACGAGAGCGAGCTATGCGGCAGACGCCACCGCAGTCTTCGGCACCGGTTCCGAAATAGGCTAGCTACGCGAAGCGGGAAGCGACGCTTTGGTGCAGACAGTTGTTGCCGCGAATACGCACGCGCAGATACGCGCGCCTCCCAACGAGGTGTCAGCCAAGATGGCTTTGACGATGAAGGCCTTTCACCTCTGGAGTAGCGCGCCGCCAAGCACCCATTGCGGCAACCGCTATTGCTGCCGGGGCTGTTACTAAGAAGGTGGCCCCGCGGGCAAACCGGGGCAGTGTACACAACACTCGGGAGGCCCCTCGAGGGCGACTGACAAGGAGTTGGCTGTTTCCTCTCCAGCTTAGTACAACGGTTGATGGAACACTGGAGCCCCCCCCCCCCCCCCCCCCCTTTTTTTTTTTTTTTGCGGACAAGCCATCGCGAGGAGTGGAAGCG